CGCAGCTTTACGGGGGTGACCGGCTGGCCTGCCTGCGGGGCGCCCCGGTGACCGCTTGCCCTTGACCAGGAAAGCGAGCCGCCCTGCTCCGGGGACATCTTTGTTTCCTTGAAAGCGCCCCGGTGTCCCCCCCTTTCTCGGCGCGCGTTTTGGTGCCAGAGGCTTTTCCATGAAAGTGTCTCTGGGTAACGGAGACATGGGCGTCTCCGCCCATTTACAGCCTTGCAAGGCCGGAACCACACGCATTTTTACCAGCAACACGCACAGTGCGGTGGTCCTGCAAGGCTTTGATCAGCTTCGGATCGAAGGGCTGCTCTGTGATGTGACTCTGGTGCCCGGGGATGGGGAGGAGGTCTTTCGCGTGCACCGAGCGATGATGGCGTCGGCCAGCGATTATTTCAAGGCCATGTTCACCGGCGGGATGAAAGAACAAGACTTAATGTGCATTAAGCTTCATGGCGTGAACAAGGTTGGTCTGAAGAAGATCATTGACTTTATTTACACTGCAAAACTTTCTCTTAATATGGACAGCCTTCAGGACACCCTCGAAGCTGCCAGCTTTTTACAGATTTTACCTGTTTTGGACTTCTGCAAAGTGTTTCTTATTTCAGGAGTCTCTTTGGATAACTGTGTTGAAGTGGGGAGAATAGCTAACACCTATAATCTCATCGAGGTGGACAAATACGTCAATAATTTCATCCTGAAGAATTTCACTGCGTTGTTGAGTACTGGGGAGTTCCTAAAACTCCCCTTCGAACGCCTGGCCTTTGTGCTTTCCAGTAATAGTCTGAAGCACTGTACTGAACTTGAGCTGTTCAAGGCTGCCTGTCGCTGGCTAAGATTGGAAGATCCTCGGATGGACTATGCTGCAAAATTAATGAAGAATATTCGATTTCCACTCATGACACCACAAGACCTCATCAATTACGTGCAGACAGTCGATTTCATGAGAACAGACAACACCTGTGTGAATTTGCTTTTGGAAGCTAGCAATTACCAAATGATGCCGTACATGCAGCCGGTGATGCAGTCAGATAGAACGGCCATCCGATCCGACTCGACACACTTGGTAACTTTAGGAGGAGTTTTGAGGCAGCAGCTGGTTGTCAGTAAAGAATTGCGGATGTATGACGAAAGGTCACAGGAGTGGAGGTCTTTAGCCCCCATGGATGCTCCTCGTTACCAGCATGGCATTGCTGTCATTGGAAACTTTCTCTATGTAGTTGGTGGTCAAAGTAATTACGATACAAAAGGAAAAACTGCTGTTGATACAGTTTTCAGATTTGATCCTCGGTATAATAAATGGATGCAGGTTGCATCACTAAATGAAAAGCGCACGTTCTTCCACTTGAGTGCCCTCAAAGGACATTTGTATGCTGTTGGTGGGCGAAGTGCAGCTGGTGAACTGGCCACAGTAGAATGTTACAATCCAAGAATGAATGAGTGGAGCTATGTTGCAAAAATGAGTGAACCCCACTATGGCCATGCAGGAACAGTATATGGAGGCTTGATGTATATTTCAGGAGGAATTACTCATGACACTTTCCAAAATGAGCTCATGTGTTTTGACCCAGATACAGACAAATGGACGCAGAAAGCTCCAATGACTACAGTCAGGGGTCTGCATTGCATGTGTACAGTTGGAGACAAGCTCTATGTCATTGGTGGCAATCACTTCAGAGGAACAAGTGATTATGATGATGTCCTGAGCTGTGAATACTATTCACCAACCCTTGACCAGTGGACACCGATTGCTGCTATGTTAAGAGGTCAAAGTGATGTTGGAGTTGCTGTCTTTGAAAATAAAATCTATGTTGTAGGTGGATATTCTTGGAATAATCGTTGTATGGTAGAAATTGTCCAGAAATATGATCCAGAAAAGGATGAGTGGCATAAAGTTTTTGATCTTCCAGAGTCACTTGGTGGCATTCGAGCTTGTACTCTCACAGTTTTTCCACCTGAAGAAAACCCTGGGTCACCTTCTAGAGAATCACCTCTTTCAGCACCTTCAGATCATTCCTAGGACAAAGGTGTTATATCTTTGTGGTGCATAATGGATGATCTCATCCTTCCCCTTCAGTTATAACTTCCAGTGATTGGTCGAGTTATTAGAGAGAAAGGTAACTGATGTTGTTTGTATTGTTTGGCTTAATATGTTTATCAAATGTTTAAATGCATTCTGAAAATATTCAACATAGCTGTTTTAACACACAAAAAGATAATGTAAAAAATGTTAGATGCCTTTTGTGGTGTTATGTCAGTCAGATTGTAGGGTGATTGTAGTAAATGTATAGTAATGTTCATCATGCTTCAAAATTGAAAGTTTTCATCTTTTATTACAAAACATCAAAGGGTGGCTGCCAGCTCTAACCTAAAATAATAAGGAAAAGGTCACCAAGTATTATTAGCTACTTCCCTGTTTTTCAGAGAATTTTTGACATAGCTGCCAACTCACTAGATTGTGTGGGTGTATTCAGAATATGTGAAGTTTCTTAGGCAGACAGGAGAAATAATAAACTCAGAAATATTAACTTGAAAAAAAAATCAGTATAGCCCTAAGTCAGAGTTTGTATTTCTGGAGACAGTGAGAAAAAGAGAAAATGCACACAAATACATATGTGCATACATACATACATATGTATATAAATATACATGCACATATCTCATTTTAAAATTGATTGGCACTTCAAGTAGAGAGTAATTGCTTTTAAATTTAAATTCTACCCAGTAGCTATTCCTATTCAAATGGGAATTCAGTACCAGAGTATAAATGTCTATATAGTCATGCTGACTGAATTGAAATAGATAAGTACTATAACATATTGAATTGACAACCAAGTTTAGCATTTGACTAAGTTGTTCCCGCCAGATGAAACTTATTACTTTTTCTGCTTGTATATTGTTTTCTTAGAGTTAGTTGCTTTTATACAGATTACTTAGCAGAGCTCAGGTTTCAGAGCATTGCTTTTGCTCAGTAAATTTAGGCTCTGCTACTTTCTACCTTTTTGCTCAGTAAAACGTATGATTATAAAAGCAAAGAAAGAAACATGCTGAACAAAGCTATATGGTTTTCAATTCAGTCTCCCAGTTTAGTCATTCTAACAAGGTTATTTGATTTGGGGTGGCTGCCCTGGTGCTGCTCCTCCCATGCATCCTGAGCTTTGTGTGATCTGCCTCAAGCCATGATCTGTGTAAGCAACAGATAAACTCTGTTCTGCATCAGATCAGAAAAATGTCCTTTTAGCTATGTCTACAGGACAGGACAAACTTCAGATTCCCTAAGGAGCCAGCTACAGAAAGCACAGGACACTGCTATCTCTTGCAGGCAGTACTAAAGTAGATCTCCAGGCTCTTCAATACCAAGGCATCCCTACTGGTTGAGAACTACCTTGGGAGATCTTAATGGGACCGTATCAGCAAAAGGAATCACAGGAGTCCTCTGTAGTAATTCCTTTTTTTAGAATATTTTTTTAATTGATTTTATAGAGAGAGGAAGGGAGAGGGAAAGAGAAGCATTGGTCGGCTGCCTCCTGCACGCCCCCTACTGGGAATTGAGCCCACAACCTGGGCTTGTGCCCTGACCAGGAATCAAACAGGTGACCTCTCAGTTCATGGGACGACGCTCAACCAACTGAGCCACACTGGCCAGGGCTGTAGTGAGTAATTCTGAAGTACTTTCCTGGAATGTCTACCTGAAGAAAAAATTTACATATATACACTTAACATACACGTATATGTATGTGTATATCCCTATACTTAGGAAATTGTCATAGTGTAAGTCAGAAACATCCTTCTTATTATTGACAATACCATAATAAAACTCAGGAACCAAGACAAAAGGAATTGGCTTCCAGGGATCTGAACTTCACTGCCCATTAAAGTGTTGATTCATTTCAATGCTTTTCATGATTTCTGCATTGGCAGAAGTTTTCATACTTCTATGTTTTTTTTTAATGACTCAGTTTTTTATTACTAAAAATAACACATTTGAGTATATTTAGAAAATAGAAAATGTAGAAATGGCTGTGCATAGAAATTAGCCTTGTGCATAGAATAAGCAAGAAATGGCATCCCAATTATTTCCTTGATTATTAATGAGGTTAAATATTTGTTTCCTTTGATCAGATGTTCTTGTCCTTTGCCTTTGTAGTACCTATTGGGGTTGCCTTGTTTTTCATATCAAGTTATATGATCTCTTTATATAATAAATATAATTTAACTGGCATTTGTTTGCATTGATTTTTTTCCTCAGTATTGTAACCGAACAACCAATGGGTCTGGCCTATCTGTCACTACTTGAGCCAATTAAACAGAGACAGAGTTGAGTCATATATAAGTGTGTATTCCAATAATGCTTTCCCCTCCCCACAAATCAGCTACTTATATTGGGTAGAGGGACAAAGATTACATGGGAAAGTAGGCAAGATATAGTGGTTACAGGTTACAGGCAATGGGGGTTGGGGAGGTCACAGAGGGTGGGTGCCTCTGGGACCAAATTGTCTCAGCAACAAGGTTGTTAATCTAGGCAGTTCTCAGAAAAGGAGGATGGGCCGCATTTCAATATTAGCTCCCATGTTCCAGAGCGTACAACTCTCAACCAGGGTAGGATGTGCTTTTTCTAATCAGAGCAGAAAAATCATGGTTAAAAAAGCATGATTAATATTTCTTAAAATTATAGCTAGTCCCCAATATTGTATTTCTACCCCTAACAGTATTACAGTTTTACAAAGGCAGGGCCATTAAGTTAATTTTTGAGATCAAAATTGCATTTTCTTTGCATTTTGACCTTTTGGAGATAATTTTCCTGTTTTTTTACATAGCACTGATGTCACATTCCTTGCCCTTTATCCTATTGCTTTGGCAGTGCCAATTCTTAACATGCTAAAGTGGCATTAACTGCTTGTGTTCTGTTTAGTAGTTTTTCTTTCTGGTTGAAATGAAGAGTAATTTTTATTAAAATCTTTATTTTAATAAGAATATTAATCTTTATTTACAGCAAATATTTCCCCATCATTTTTTAGTATATGTATTAACATACACCTTATTTTTGTAATGTAGTGAGATTAGTTTTTCTTTTGTCATTTTAAAAATGCTTTCTTAATTTTTCCCATGATGAGGTGGTATAATTATCCTAGTATTTTGTTGTTATGGATATGACTCTTTACTAGACTTCTGATATAAAATTTAATGTATGTTTTTTTTTTAAGGTGCTCAATTTTTTTATTGTGGTAAAGTATACATAACATTTATCATTTTAACCATGTTTAATTGGAAATTTCAGTGGCATTATATACATTCACATTGTTGTGCAACCATCATCATCAACAGGTTTTTTGGAAAGAATGAATGAATGTAATGAGATTGTAAAGGACCTTGGAAGCCATCCTAAGGAGTCTGACCTATATTCTCTAGGCAATGGAAAAAAAAAAGGTACATGTAATGGGCATAAGAGAGGATAAAGCAATCAAAAAGCATTTGGAAGACTAAATTTACAATAATGATTCTCAACCCTGACTACACATTAGAAATTTTTAAAATCAATCATGCCTGGGTCATACCCCACACCAAGTCAATCAGAACCTTTGGGGAATAAGACTAAAAACATTCCAGGTGATTCCAATGTGCAGCTAAGGCTGAGAACAGTGACTGCACTAGAGCAAAGATTCTGCTTAAAATCAAAATGTGGTCCCTAGACCATCAGCATCACCTGGGAGCTTACTGTATGTTTTCAAGTTGTTATCTATGTTCCATCACCACTTTCTGAATAATCTTCACTTTCTCACTTAGACCATTGTAAGAAGAATTTTTGTGAGTTTGAGTCAAACTGTCGATAAATGCCGGGAAGTAAAATCTCAATAGATTGAGATAAAGGAGAATGGCTGTTTTGCATCTTGTTTTATACATTACAATCAAAGTGGGTTACATGAAATCCATTGGTGATACATTAGGGAGGTGGGAGAAAGCAAAGTGAAACCTTTAGGATCAGATAAAAAATAAAATGTGCCGTAGCCGGTTTGGCTCAGTGGATAGAGCGTCGGCCTGCGGACTCAAGGGTCCCAGGTTCGATTCCGGTCAAGGGCATGTACCTTGATTGTGGGCACATCCCCAGTGGGGGGTGTGCAGGAGGCGGCTGATCGATGTTTCTCTCTCATCGAATGTTTCTGACTCTCTATCTCTCTCCCTTCCTCTCTGTAAAAAATCAATAAAATATATTTAAAAAAAAATAAATAAAATAAAATGATAATGAAGTGGGGTGAAGCTTTGTGGAGCCTTTCTCCCTTGCTCAGGGGTCACCTCCTGCACATCCCAGGGCACCCGGCTGCCTTGGGCTTTGTCCAGTGGCAAAGGCCTCTCCAGGGATCAGGGAGAAGCAGGGAAGTAAGTCTTGAGTTTCTTGTGATTTAGATTCTAAACTGTGATGATGAAATTCTCCACAGACCAGAACATTCTCAGCTCTGAGCTCCCCATGCACCAGTAATGTTGGCTTTGAGCAGGCAGGATCTACCCGAGAGGCCTCAGAACGAGTGAGCCCCTACCCGGTTCCTGGGATTGCTTCCCGGTGAGCAGGGAGCAATAATGTTGCAGAGGAGTGTCTGCAGTTCTGGAAGCCAGAGGTCCGAAATCCAGAGGCTCTAGGAGGGACCTGAAACTGCTCAGCCAAGGTTTACAATAAGCTACATCTAACAGGTCAGAGATCACTGTCAGCTGGGTGTGGCTGGCATCACAGAAGCATCTGACATTGACCACATCCTCCATTTTAAGTCTGACCTTTATCTGGCTTCTATGCCACCATCGCCTGCTTTCCTGACCCTCCTCTCTTTCCTTTGTTAACCATCCCCTTTCATTTTAGGGACTATTGGTGTTCCTCACAGTTCTAAGCTAGGTGCCACACTTCATCCTCTCTGCACATAGTCTCGACCTCCCAAATTGTTCCAAATGCCATTTCTATGGTTATGACTGGCATATGTATGTCCTTAGTCAGAATCATGTCTCCAAACATGAGACCCATATTTCTACTGGCTACCCTAGAATACCTCCACTGAACATGTCCAAAATTGAATATATATTTTTAGCCTTCCTTGCCCTTAGGCCAGGGGTGGGCAAACTTTTTGAGTCGAGGGCCACAATGGGTTCTTAAACTGGACCGGAGGGCCGGAACAAAAGCATGGATGGAGTGTTTGTGTGAACTAATATAAATTCAAAGTAAACATCATTACATAAAAGGGTACGGTCTTTTTTTTTTTTTAGTTTTATTCATTTCAAACGGGCCGGATCCGGCCTGCGGGCTGTAGTTTGCCCACGGCTGCCTTAGGCCCTGCTCTAGTTTCTGTGTTCCCTGTCTATATGAAAGGGCTCCGTCATTCTTCCGCTCAAGGTAGACATGGACATTATCCTTGAGTCCTCAAATATGCAAATAACAAAGCAAATAAGACAAAGTCCAGTTTCTAATGAGCTGATTTGCTGAAGATGTCTTCATACCTATTGCTTTAGTCTAGTTCAGGTTTTGATAACAAAATACCACAAAGTGGGTAGCTTATTAATAACAGATTTAAGATCATGGCTTCAGCATGGTCAGAGGGCCTTCTGGATCGCAGACTTCTTGTTGTATTCTCACTAGCTAGAAGGCAGGAGGGACCCTCGGGAGCCTTTTTTTATATGGGCAGTAATCCCCTTTATGAGGTCTGGGCCCTCACAACTTAAGCACCTTCCGAAGGTCCCACCTACATCACTCCAGGCATAGGATTTTAAAAAATAATTTGGGAGGACACTAACATTCAGATACTAGCACCTACCATTTAAAGCAGTGGTTCTCAACCTGTGGGTCGCGACGCCTTTGGGGGTCGAACGACCCTTTCACAGGGGTCGCCTAAGGCCATCGGAAAACACATATATAATTACATATTGTTTTTGTGATTAATCACTATGCTTTAATTATGTTCAATTTGTAACAATGAAATTGGGGGTCACCACAACATGAGGAATTGTATTAAAGGGTCGCGGCATTAGGAAGGTTGAGAACCACTGATTTAAAGAGTAGGAATCTAGAAAGCTGAGGCAACCTGGCTTCCTATGCAAAATAAAAAGAGTAAAGAAGAGTTCAGGGTCAGAGTTGAAAATTAACTACTTACATGATAATGTTTATGCAGTTATACGTTTAGATTAAAGCTGTTTCCTTTTGTTTGAAAAGCCTAGGCTTGGATTGAAACCACTAGAAGTCCTTTGGGAAGTTAGATTTAATTCAAAATACAAAAGATTCAAATTGATGATTTTGTCTAAATTGTCTTCTCATTGTCCAATGCTAAACAGAAAAACTGTTGACAATATCTAGATGAATATCTAATGGCTGGTGAAGTTAAAAATTATTTTCTGATATGAAGGCAAATTAAAAGTTAAGTACCCAAAAGTAAATGTTAAGAAAATAATTAAAAATGTCAAAAATATTTAGTAGTTTTGAATGATTTTAAATTATATCGGTAGTATTTTGAAATATATAAATTTTTATTTGAATATGTAATTGGATAAATTACTGTTTATTTAAGTTAATATAGAACATTAAACACTCTTTGCCAGCTGGGCCCCAGGGCTAGGAGTCCCTGCAGGGTAATATGAAATTGGGTGCCAGAATAGCGCAGAACATGGGGAGCCAGCACGCACTCACTGCTGCCTTAAGATTCATTGCTGGTACCCAAAACTCCAGTGCCCCCAGCTTGCTTGAGCCCTGGGAGAGACCAGCAAGCCAGTGCCCCTAGATGAGGACTTAAAATGAGGCTCACAGCCACCTGGTACCGGTACCCGGTTCCCAGCCAAGGAACCCCCAGACTCTTTCTTCCCTTGCCTCCTGTCTCCTCTGCTTCTGCCCTGACAGTGCACCTGCCTCAGCAGGCTTGGATTTCGTGGGCGCATGGCACTGAGGGGGAACTGGAGCTGCTGTGGCTCGCAGACCCAGAGTTCTGCCTCCTGCCACCCCCCTGCCAGTTCCCCAGCCAAAGCGCCCCTCCACGCTGTGGCTGTGCGCTGGGGAGGAGGAGGGATGCTGGTTATCGGCTCCGTCCCAGGGCGAGGTCCCCTGGTGGCCGTTCATTGTTAAGACAATGGGACTGAAAACCTTTTCACCTGATACTTGCTCTAATCACTGAGCCACGCCGTCCAGGGCTGTGTGATCTATTTGATCAGTTACTAGTCTTTTTATGTTTATGCAAATAATAAGACCAAACTAAAACTGGACTTATTGGAGGCTTTCTAAAAATGAGAGTAATCTCGGGGAGCAAAATTATATGCTAATAAAAACCACAAAACCCAATTGTGGATATTGGTCTCCACTACAATGAACTGTCTTCAAAGTTTTGTTTTTAAGGCTATGTCTGCACGCCACACAGAACTCAGACCTGATGACATCACCAGAGATGTTCCAACTACAGATAATCCATCAGGTTGTCATTGCTTGATGCCATTCCAACGAGAGCCTTACATCTGGAAGTCTTCTCAAATGGTTTATAACTTGCTATGTGTTTTGTTTTCATAAAACGTGTGCCTATGTCCTTATTTACCTGATTGCTTAGTCACACAATATAAGCCTCACTTTAGAAGCCAGCTGCATCACTGTGTCCTAAAGTGAAACTCAACAATTTGGAATTATAATTGAGCCAATAAAATATGGACAGTCTATTGGCTTCGCTTGAAACTGCTTTCCCTTTTCTGTCTAAATGGTTCAGACAGAAAAGGCTCACAGTTTCTCATGGGGGAAATCTTAGAATATTTCTCTTAACTTTAGTACGATGGACAGAAGGGCTTCAGACAGGTGTGACACACCGGCCTCCAGGGGAGCGGCTCCTCCAAAATCACCCGGAACACTGTAAGTTAGTATTTCCCTTTATCACATGGGTTTACATCTCACCACACACCGGCCTCCAGGGAAGCGGCTCCTCCAAAATCACCCGGAACACTGTTAGTATTTCCCTTTATCACATGGGTTTACATCTCACCAGATCTTTAGTTGCCATAAGCCTGCTCACTTTTGAATTATGCCTTTTAATCTTCTTTTCAAGTTTATTACTTCTAGAGTACAACAAGAATGCCAGCTTGTCTAACGCGTCATCCTCTGGACATTGCTTATGTCACCTGCCGGGGACACCAGGCTGACCCGGACTTTGCGGAATCCCTCTTCCCTGCATGAAGACCCCCCTTCCCGTTTGCTCCTCCTTCCTCAGTCAGACAGGAAGAACCTCTGAGCCTTGGGATAGGCAGGACTATGCCCCTTGACAGCAGAAAGCAATTACAAGAAGATGGAGATATTCACCCATTTATCTCCTTGTAAGATTACAAGGCTTAAGTTCTTGAAGGGAGAGAGTAATACCACTGTGGTCAGCTAGTTATTAGTAATAGGACAGAAGCAAAGGGGAGGTCAGACATTATAGGCTTGTCATTTGCGCAGTTTCACCAGGAAGCTGCAACTTTGCACTCCCCAGGGAGCCACTGGCCTATTCCCTGCATAACACTGGGGAAAGGGATCCAACGAAGGGAAGACAGATGCATGTCCAGTAAAGTTGGGGTGACCTAGGAAAGATACTTGTGTGTCAGTCACTCCGGGGGACAGATCATTGGCCAAAATGAGCGTGGCCACTGCAAGCATGCAAATATTTGGGAATACACAATCTTCTAAACAAAAGAGTTCTCTCTCTTGTTGCTCTTGTGCTCTTGGCTTCCTTGCATTTCCCCTGCTTCCTCCATAGCCATGTGGCCGTGTGGACCCCACATGCCATGGACTGATGGACTACAGCGGGGAACACAGATTATGCGAGCCCGATGCTGGATTGGATTCTGCTCTAACATGGAAAGGAAACTCTGGACATAGACTGATTCTAGTCCTACTGAAACCCTAGCTACACTTCCATGACTGGGCAAAGGGAAATGGAACTTTGGAAACTCAGGGGCGTAATGCCATGGAAAGACAGCTTTCTACAATATCACATCCGCCTGTGTGAGTCTCTTTTTCTTGGGAGATCACAAGAAATCCACCCCCACTAGCAACTGGGGGAGAGGAGGACCTCTCTTGTCTGTTATCATACCCATATCTATATACAGTATTCATTTAATAATTCTGATACCCGGCAGAATTTCCCCTTCCCCTCTGCTTTCTGGATCCCACTCCTTCACTCCCATATCTTTCCCTTTCACGCCAAGTAGAAATCCCCAGTGTGTTTCCTTCATTCACTCCTCATTACTCTGTAACTGCCCATTCATGCCGCTGCTTCCTTTTCCATTAAGGTTTCCGGCTGTCAATTTTTCCTTCAGAGTACAAAGCCACCAATTGAAAGCAAAAGTTGAGTGAAAGTTCTAGGCTTTAGGGAAACTCTCATATGAAAGGATTTTTCCCTCCCTGAGAAAGTTTTTGGAAAGGGAATGTCCCTGTTGCAATGATGTAACAGTAGCTGTAGCAAAAAGGAAATAGAAAGTAGGATCCATTTTACTCTGTGGACTGTTAAAAAAATTTGTATGAGAAGGGTGCCACCTACTGGCCAAGATGGACAAAGACTGAAACAAAGTCTAGGGATCTGGCTTATATATGCAGATTTATCTCTAGGGTTTCAAAAAACACCTCTTGTTTGGAAAGAGCAGATCTTCATACCGAAAGAAGCCTGCGTTCTAATATTTTATATATTTTTAAAATATATACTTTATTATATATATTTTTATTTATTTGTTTATTTATTTTTTGAGAGAGAGAGAGAGGAAGGGAGAGGGATAGAGAGGTAGAAACATTGATGAGAGAGAAACATCAATTGGCTGCCTCCTGCATGTGCCCCACTGGGGATTGAGCCTGCAACCAGGGCATGTACCCTGCCTGGGAATCAAACTGGTGATCTCTTGGTTCATGTGTCAACGCTCAACCACTGAGCCACACCAGCCTGAAGAAATATATACTTTATTTTTTAGATCAGTTTTAGGTTCACAGAAAAACTGAGAAGGTGTAGAGATTTCCTACATACTCCCTGCCCCAACATATGCATAGCATACTCAAAATTGTACCTATATTTTTTGTCACATTAGCAAAAAATATACTTTTTTTGGTGTAGAAATAGAAGCCCAGAGAGAGGTAGGTAGGTGTGGGAGGCCTGCAGATGCGGGTTGGCCAGGCAGTTAACCACAGCCTTCACCTCAGTGGAATAACTCTGACGAATTTGGAAGCTGAGTAGAATGTTCTATTGGGAATGAACTCTTTCAAGATTAGATTCTGAATGCCTAGGGCAGGGGTCCTCAAACTACGGCCCGCGGGCCACATGCAAATACAAATATTGTATTTGTTCCCGTTTTGTTTTTTTACTTCAAAATAAGATATGTGCAGTGTGCATAGGAATTTGTTCGTAGTTTTTTTTAAAAACTATAGTCCAGCCCTCCAACGGTCTGAGGGACAGTGAACTGGCCCCCTGTTTAAAAAGTTTGAGGACCCCTGGCCTAGGGATTAGGATTCAAGGTCAAAATTTCAACGCAATAATAGTAAGGTTCACAAATGTATAGCACGGTGTCATATTAAAGTTCTTTCACACACATTCTCCCAAGCGATCATCACAATGACCCTGTGAGGTGTGCAGGCCGGTACTCTACCAAATGAGGAAGCTGAAGCTTACACAAGTTAACAACTTGGGGTATATTCAAAGGCAAGGCCCAGAAAGGGGTGCCTCCAAAACCAATAGTCCTTCCACTACATTTCACACCACCTCCTACTGGCCAAGACCTGTGGCTGGAATCAATCACTGCTCAACTCCCTTGGGTGGCCAGAAGAGGGATCAGGAGGAGTCCTAGATCCGCTATCCCTCCTCAGAAGCTCCCCTCCGAAGTCATTATTTCCTGAGAAGGCCTGGTTCTAGGAACTGATCGCCTCTGTGACTATGGACCTGAGACCCCATGAAGGTCTGTTCAGGTTAATCCAGGAAAGCCTGGCATTCAGCCGCAGAACTTGACCCTTTAAGGCTCCAGCTTTCTCTTCCTGCCTCTGTGTTGATGCTGAAAGACAAGAAAAATGACACGGTAAGGATTTCACCTCCCTCTTTCTAAAAGCAGCAGACATTTATTATTAGTGAATAACCTGAGCTTCTACATTGATTTGAGATCTGCATTCTTTCTAAGTTCTTCATTTTTAAAGAGGATAAAATGTTTTCGACGGACCCTTCTCTGAAAAACTGGTTTTTCCACTCATGGCTTTCTGCACAAGGTCCTTTCAAAATATTTCATGGATTAGTTCTCTGCTGAAGAAAGGCCCAGAATCTCAGATCTGCAGGGTCCTGTGTGTTCCCTTTGATAGGACTTCACCCTGAGGACATTTCGAGTATATCTGTTTGGAGACTTTCAGCGGCTCAGTGTTGTTCTCCATGTTGGCGCTGCCTGGCCAGAGATGCCTGAGCTGAGAAGTAGATATTATTTTCAGTATTATTAGTACTAGATAGATTATATGATTTTCCCAAGAAGAGTGTAATAAAATTAAAAAGAAATGTGTAATAACTACTAGGAAATCATGTTAGATCTGAAATACTATCAAGAATATAAGAAAAATACTTTATCTCATTTTTTGCTTATGCACGATTTGTAGCATCATGATCACATGACAATGAGCACTATGTGTGTGGGCTGAAGTGATATGGACATATTGGCACGGCCGGAAGTGGCAGCCAGAGTGCTCACAGTTGGGGTAGGGAGCAAGCACCAAGCACCAAAGTTTTTAGAGTCAGAGGAAAATTCTCGGTGGAGGAAGATTCAGTGGGGTGAGTAGCTTGTGATGAGGCTAGAAGTGTAATTTTTCCCAGCCATGCTCAAAACCTTCCTGTAATAATCAGAGGATCGTTCTAAGTAAATGGAGCATAAAAGCTGAATTTCACCTCCATCCCTCGGAGCTAAGTTTCTGAGTCCCCTTTCAAGTTGGACCTGGGATTATGCTCCAGGACCAAGAAGGCCGGGCGATGTCTTTGGTTAAGGATTCCATCACTCACTAGCCAGAGCAAGACTCCAAAGCTGAGGGCCTGGAGCACAGAGAAGGAATGTTGCCTGAAATCTTTATTCTTTCATTGTTTTAGTTTGACTCAGTTCATCATTGGATATTGAGTCACTAAAAAAAGACCTACAGTAGCAGATGGAGAGCATGGCATGACAATAAATACAAACTGCTTAAACTTCCCTAATAAAAGATTTGGTTTTAAACACATTTTCATATATATCAATATTGATATTAATATTGCCATCTCTAATTACTTTTCTCCATTGTATTTTCTTTTTCTTTCTTTCTTTCTTTTTTCTGCAAAAAGCTTTATTGTTTCATTTGGTCCCATGCACGGGAGAGGGCTTCAGGGTGGTTAAAAGAATGGCTAGCAGTTTCGGGGACAGGCTCAGGGAAAAGTCAGACACCAGGGGGATGCAGAGGGGCCCCTCAAAGGCCTCTGAGCTCCTCAGGCTCCTACCTGTGCTTGGGGGTGAGCCTTTCCAAGAGATACTCGCCCAGCCCAGCCTGGGGGCCGCAGCCTGAAGAGGTGAGTCAGGTGTAGCCCATCTTCCTGATGAGTTTCACCTCCTCCCCCAGGAAGTGGTTCTGCAGGAAGTCATGGAGCTGAGGTCTGCGCGGGGAGAACCAGGGCCTGCAGCTCCCAAGGGGCCTGGGTCAGGCTCCTCTCCGAGGCCAGGGCGGCTTCCATGGTCCTGAGTTTTGCCCCCTCATCTGGGGGGGCTTCAGCGCGTCCTGGAGAGAATGCGGCCACCGGGCTGGTTTAGCAACTTTAAGAAGCTCAGCGCCCTGGGCTTCTTCTCCGCCAACTCGCAGGTGAAGCGGCCCACGCCCTGGAGAGCCACATCGTTAAGGTCGAAACAGAAGCCCAGAGAGAGGTAGGTGTGGGGGCCTGTAGATGCGGGTTGGCCAGGTGGTTGGCTACAGCCTCCACGTTGGTGGAATAATTCTGACGAATTTGGGAGCTCAGGGCTGTTCGGCATTAAGGAGTGAAGGTAGGAAAAAACCCGGTGTGTTGGCTGGTCTGGAAGGTGGTTCTGACGGTGGTGACTGGGCAGAGTGGCCTGAGGCTGGAAGAAGGGGTGTCCCTGGGTCTGTTCCGTCCAAACACTGTTGAAGCAAGAGACAGATCCTGGCCCCGAGGACACTCTCCATTGTATTCTCTTGCTCTGCTTTTGCCCATCTTTTCTTTTATTGTTTGAGTATTAACTATTTAGTATTATTTGATTTTAGGCTTTTCTCCCGATGCAAAGAAATAATGGGGATTTATGTATGTTCTCATTAAGAATGATGACAAAACAACAGAAAATGTCCAGTGAGCATAAACTTTCTTTTTTAAAAAAAATATATTTTATTGTTTTTTTACAGGGAGGAATGGAGAGGACATATACTTTCTTTTTTAAAAAAATACATTTTATTTTTTTAAAAATATGTTTTTTTACAGAGAGGAATGGAGAGGGATAGAGAGTTAGAAACATTGATGAGAGAGAAACATTGATCAGCTGCCTCCTGCACACTCCCTACTGGGTATGTGCCCGCAACCAAGGTACATGCCCTTGACCGGAATCGAACCTGGGACCCTTGAGTCC